AAGGGCAACTGTTATTCACAACTGTCTACCAGGGAGGGTGGGGCTGGAGACCGCACATTCCAACCCTAACTGAACCTCTCCTGAGATTTACCACAAGACTACCTATAATCACGTGCCAGGCTTTTTGCCATGAAACTTCCACATCGCATCCCTTTTGTTCTACAGTTTTGCTGATTCTGAGTCTTTCGTTCGTTCACAGGTAAGACGACGAACACAAAAACGCGCAGTCTTGTAAACTTGGAGCGACGATCGTTTTTAAAATCCCCCCCTGAGTTACTGTCCCTCAAAACACTGTTGCAGGTCCAAAAAATTGCGCCTGCCCTTAAGGGCAGGCAACTTCCTCCTCCCTCTCCTCCTATTTGAACCAAACTTTGAAAGAAGTAGCCTACTACCGACGATAAATGTCAAATACGACTAGTTGTTTACTGGAGACCCTGAATAGGTAACCTCCATGTGGCTGCATTTGTTCCCTCTGGGTAGCGTACAAGACTCGGGGCGACCCGGTTGGCGGACACTACTTTGCCTTGCTAGGAGTGTGCATCTTCCACTTCCACCGTTACTTTCTCCCGCATCTACTCGGGGCTGGAGGCAAGGCTGCGTGTTGACACAGTCGGCTTACAACAGCACACACACCTGCTGACATTTACAGTCTACCGTGAAAGCTCCGGACCGGTGCATTTTAGGTCCTACTTTGCACTGCGCTAAACGCCGCCTGAGTTTCAGCGCCCCTTGTTGGCAGTAGAGAGCCAAGATCGGCCGGCGCCGGCTGACGACGGCCAAATTTTCTGGCCTGCCAACGCACCCCGGCCAGAGAATGTACAACAGCTCGGTGGACGCCGCGTTCACGCGCAAACGTCGCCGCCGAAATCTTTGAACTGTCGGGCCTATCGGTCAACGCACTCTATTTACTTGACAGACTGTTTGGCCGGGGGGGATGCCAAGGCGTGTAAACATTCCGTGCATTAGCAGATCTTGACAGGAGTCTTAAAGAGATTCCAGATGGCTGTTGACAGTCGCACTG